GCGACATGTCACAGACTACAGTTATAACTTAGGTAACTCTTCTCTAGTAGTATCCCAAGTCGAAAAAGATTTAGGAGTCCTGGTGCCCTACGATCTAAAGTCTTACACTAACTGTGACAAAAATGCCTTCCGAGCAAACCTTACACTGGTAACATTGAAGCGCATTTCTGGCCAGTTTGACGGAAGAACTTTCCATATAATCTTCAATAGTTTTATTCGTCCCCATTTAGAGTACCGAAACATAGTATTTCCCCCCTCACTCCAAAAGGATAAGGACACCCTGGAGCGTATCCAACGTCGAGCCACGAAATCAGTTTGAGGACTCAAATTTAAACCTTACGAAGAGCGCCTCCATTCACTCAACCTTTACCCATTAGAGTATAGACGTCTTAGAGGTGACCTTCTGATGGCTTATAGTATCCTTAAGACTTCTGGACATCCTCTCATACACCTACTTAAGCTTAGTTCCAACACTAACCTAAGAGGTAACACCCAAAAGCTAGAGACACAATATAGCAGAACGGACTGTAGATACATCTTCTACTCATTAAGAGTTGTCAAATGCTGGAATTTGCTGCCGGCCGAGCTAGTCCACGCGACTTCCCAGGAGTCCTTTAAGAGGCAACTTGATCTATTGTTAAGGACTAAGGATAGTATCAAACTATGATTTACTAATTTCTTTTCCTCTTTTATTGTTAGCATACCTAGGTTCCTGCCTGGAGGATTTGGTGATCCTCTGCTATTAGACACGGAAGCCTGTTAAGCGAGAACTTCTTCTATTCCGTCCACAACCATTTGAGCTGGAAAACATGACAACCAGAGATCGCGCGGGAGATCGAATTAGAAGAAACAATGAGAGCGGTTACCGCTCCAGAAGAGATCTTAGCCTGTCTAATAAAATATGACTATCACTGCGACGGCCTTAGAATTTCTCACCCGTAAAGATAGACTATATTATGACTACGGAAGTTTGATTCCCAGAATTTAAACGCAGTGATCCCGAATTGTGGTTTGACCAACTAAAGCATTACTTCATGAGACACAGTATTAAATCAAAATTCGTGCCATTTCTTCCCCCCTGCAGTCACAAACGAAGTCCGCGACTTCATTTTAAGTTCACCAACATCCCAACCGTACACCATTTTAAGATGCGGAATAATAATTATCATAATAATTGTTAGATAAACGGTTTAAACTGTTTTTCTTTATCAGACGGCTGGAGAATCAAAAGGTCTTTCCGAGGGGAAATAGGTGATACATCACCATCACAGTCTTTACTTGACATCCAAGTCTTGGTGCGCGACAACACAGTAGGTGAAACAGTCCCAGAAAAGACCCGGACTCCACTCTATCTCACTTAGTGAGTATTGCAAACAGAATAATGGAAAGAGGTCCCACAACTGGATCACGTACGACACATCATGCACAAAAATCAACCAAGTGCAGCCAACCGTTCACTTATATATATATATATATATATATATATAATTAGAACACACACAAGCTCGTTTTCGGCATAAAATAGATTTCATGGTTTCGTATGACATACTACCATTAAGTGGCTTTTAAACGAAGCATTTTAGATCAAACAATAGTCTAATACTTGTTAGTGGTTCTTATAGTCATTTTTACACGACTATACATGTTAAGTACTAAGTTAACGAATATTTCTGCAACATGAATTGTAGTGCAATCAGGTGACCCGAATTCATTGGCATTAAACTATTTTTTAATTCCTGGCATTTACGAATCAACAGCCTTGAACGTATTCTGAACCATCAAAAGTTTTCGCTATGTAAAACAACATTAACTTCTTCTCTCATAGCTAATGCCAAATCAAAGATACAAGTAGCTATTCATAATGGTTTCTTGACATCGCCACAAAGCATTATTACGATTTGATAGTCACGTAATATGGTTGATATGTGTTGAGCCCAAAAACTAAGTCAGCCGATGATATGACATAACTACTTCCACAAATAGTGTTTTACTCAGTTATCTCCATCTAACACTGATATTCTCAAAAAAGAGCTTTTACTATCAGTTGGTTGAAACTTTATCAGCTTGATGAGAGGTTTGACGGCAGTCGTTTGTGCAAATGATTGGTGTCTGCAGTCGAGCAAATCTGCAAACTGAAAGCATCATTGTTGTATTTACACAAACACTGACTCAAAGTTGATGCCATTATCATAAAAATGTGTTGGGTGCTATGCTCCCACTGACTAAAACCTATGCTCTATCTGATAATCACATGGCTTGCACTCACTTTATCGACTTATAAGCATTCGATTAAATGAAGACATCATATTTAATGGTACTATTTGAGTTGTATTGATTTCACAAACTTAATTTCAAACGGACTGATTTATAGCTTCTATTTGAACTTATGCTTACGAGTAACTTGTATGCAGAGCTATTTCTAATTATCCATCTATAAATACTAATATGGACAAGTGATCCACTAGATCATCAAAATATTGAGTTTACAGCATGACTTTCACAGCTACACTGTCGTTGAACCAATTGTCAGTTGCCATACAAAATCCTGGAAATTACCACTAGTGTCATGGGACAAGAACTTATTTCATGTAGATAAGTTCTTTTCTCTGGCCGTATTACTAAAAACTACTATCGAAAGCACTTTAGATGTTAAGCTTTTTTCCGAATTCGAAAGCATCCTTCAAACTGTAGAGAGCTAGTTTCTCACGGATTGGTTCTGAACACTTAGTCAGACACCGGGCAAGTTTGTCGAAAGGTGATTTGGTCACAGATAATATTTACCTCATTGGGATTTTAGGTAAGACGCATAAGTAAGGTAATTGTGGTCTTCTCGGTTCGAATTCATTGTAAGACACTTTACCAATTACATTTTTCTTCAAGAGTTTTCTCAACTTTTTCGAAAAACGCTTTTCAGATCTTTCTGAGTATTTTCGATGATAAGTCTGATGGTATTATTTAAAATAGACATTATCTTGCTAATGTGTTCGTCTCTGATTAGGATGACTACACGGAAGCCCTTGTCCAGGCGAAGTAGCATTATTGTTTCGTGTTTTATAAGTTTTCTCAGTGCTTGATTATCTTTACGCAACACCCTACATTAAGGAAATGGTGTCGTAACGTACTGACTTGTAATATCCAGTAATTTCGATTTCAACTAACTTTGTTATTCATCATTTATGGGTTTTAGGTCCGTCAACTATTGATATAAATGCTCAAACTGAGTTTCGGTCTCGATTATGTTGAATTTTTTCGCAATATGAAATTTTAATCGGAGGGAGAGTGTTTCTGTTTCAATTCGACTTAGTTTTTTACTCGGTAACAAAGCACACAATGATATAGATTTTACTATGGAAAATGAGATAGATGAATTCCAATTCTTCGATATTGGAACCTAAAGAACTTCAGATGGCACATTACAGATACATATCCACTGTAAAAATACCTTAAGTGGAGCTTATCGCAATTACAATAGTTTCTGTCCAATAAGTTATAAAAAGCGAACTGTACGAACGTTTTCTGACCGCCCTCGCAAAATTTGCTCGGAGGAAAGCCTGGAAGAACTTGCCTTCACTACAAATTGCCTACGTGAAAATACATATCCAGAGAAATTCATAGAAAAGTATGCCAAAACCAACCTACGGGTTAAATACGATACAATAGATAAGAGAACCTGCTTCTTATATCCGCGCTTCAAAGGAGATGAAATCACTACGATAATTAACCACGGGATAAATGCTGCGTTGAAAGTTGCTTATCCATCAGCAGGACTAAAACGAAATGCTCACTCACATAAACAACAATTGATAGGGCCTCTTTTCTCAGTACTTTCAACTACATTTACCGATTTGCATGTACGTGTCAAACACATACATCGGAAGGACAGAGAAAAGGGTACATAGTCGCATTTCCGAGCACGTTCCAAAGAACTTGAGACTGGGAGGCACAATGCCTCTGAATAGTGTAATAGCTCGGCATTTACTTGACACCGAGCACACCATTTGAATTCCAACTCCAAATGACCTCTAACGTGTCCTTGCATATATATAGTCGGAAATTAAACCAAATAAGATGGCACTTCACTGGTAACCGAAGGTACTGGGTTCAAACCTTTTGTGCATGATCGCACAAGTACACTGCTGAGGAATCTCATACTAGGACAAAACGGCCGTCCAGTGCTTCCAGCTTTCAAATGTTGGTACAACACTGATCAGTTCATGACCTCGAATTAAAAAAATGTTAATTTGACAAAGTATACCATTATTTTATGTTCACTAATTGATTTGTATACAGAATTTTGAAGAAAAGGTCACTATTATTAGATACTAATGCACGTTCTTAGAGTGTTCTTAAAAATGACCATTCACCCTTAGTTTCCAGTAAAAAATAGAGAGCCAATGCTTAATATTATTTGTTAATGGAACCTACTGAGCACATTAATTAGTACTCATAACAGTACCTCTTTCAGAAGCTTATGAAATTACAAGGCGATACACAACACTTCTTTATTCTTATTTGAGTTAACTAATCATGAGAGAAAACTATCTTTTGTATCATGAAGAGAAATTTCAGAAGTTACAAGTATGTATGAGCGTAAAAATCAAATAACCTTATAACATATGTACTGATAAAATAATAAACATCTAGTATAACATTAATAGTTGAATTAATGAGTCGATCTAAGTTAGACCACCACTAAAAACCTGAAAGCACTAGATGGCCGTTTTTTCCTAATGAGGGACTCCTCAGCAGTGCGCATCCACTCAATAGTAGTCTAGCTTAGATCAACTTATGAATTTAACTATTGAGATTACTGCAATCCTCACAAACTCCCATTCTGAAAACAATCTAGTATAATAATATATCAAGAAGTTTTAAAGATCAGATTTATCAAGATAATTACCTTTACAAATCATATATATATATATATATATATATATATATATATATATATATATATATATATATATATATATATATATATATATATATATATATATATATATATATATATAGTTTCATATGCAAAAAGATGAATCTGTTTTAAGACTCTGAGGTATCAGGAATAACATTCTGTTTGGGAAATGATTGATTTACAATTGGTTTGACTGTATTATCATAATCATTAGATTGATTATTATAATGGGTATCTGTACATGACCATCCTTTGTTATCATTTGATCCATTCATTAGACAATCTGCATGTTGATGATGTAACGAATGAGTATTGAAAGTCAACAAACGCATTAATAATTTATCACATTTTACACCATTTATAAATTCATCTAATGACAAACGATTATCTCTATCTAAGTCCATCAACTGAAATATTTTCTCTGCTCGTTTTTCCGGTGTAGAATCTGTAACATTGAATTCAACAGCAGAGCCAACCATTGCATAAATAGCCTAAAAATAATATAATACAGATATATATATATATATAATTTATTTGGAAAGCTTTTAAAAATCGTATATATAAGCATAAACAAAATATGTTCATCTATTATTCTTCCTAACTGAACATGATATTAAGTATTACATAATGACCTTTAAAAAGAGTCGTTTTAACTCAACAGTGGAATCGTATTGTTTCACCCACGAGACATGAATTTACGAAGCTTGATTTTGTGTATCAGGAGGATAGCGAATACATAAACTGACGAGAAGTATTAAACAAAGATGAAATAACTTTGCAGTAGGCTTCCCTAATTTCCACTGGTTTCCAAATGAAACGAAATCCCAACAAACTCCACATAACTAGGTCATTTTTGTTAGAAAAGGTGAAACTTTGAAAATTATTTCCCAACAAATTAAAATATTTATGTATATTTTTTCTGATATGTACTAATTAAGTAGTTGCCTTGATTGTAAGCCTTTATTTAACTCATTAACAATTGGCATACCTTTTACTCACTCATAAATTAGAATTAACTAATTATATTTCTATTACTGCACCAAAAACGTACAGATTAAGATTTCCTAATCGTAATGAGTTGTGGACATGTAGATGACCTATACATTCACGCGAGTTTTTAAACCTTAACAGATGGTAAATTGTCTAACTCTTCTCGTATTCTGATTGGGCTACTATTTAGTTAATTTATTTATTATTTAAACACAAACATATGTACACGGAGGCAGCATATAGATAGGAGCCACACAAATCTCATTTGATTTGTGTGAGGGCTGTGATATTGCCTGGGTGTCCAAACCGAAACAGGCAGTTTCCCTAGAGGGCCATACCCCAAGCCTTTGATCTGAAGGTCTGATCCACAAGGCAGTGAAGCAACGTCAGAAGATGCAGTCCCATGGTAGCCGGTGATCAATAATCGGTTCATACACTATTTGGTCCCTCAGGATACTGGAACCCATGTGTACCATTGGTTTGGAATCAGGGTTTTCCAACTCCCCTAGGTGGATCTTTCGTATCCATCAACCCGGATAAAGCGCCGGACTAGTAATAAGAAAGGAAAAAAGATTTTGTCTATTTGGTTAGTTTGATTTCGAAGATAGTGTTGATCACGAAATAACATTCGGCTGGTGAACCATTGGAGACCAAGGAGTGTTTGACTACATACGGAAGAACACTATTAAAATAAATGTGGTTTGAAGTTATTACTCACACTGGCAACCACATCAATGAACAATTTTTTACATCTGACTAATCTGTTATTCTTAAATCTATTGCCCAATAATAATAATGATTTTAAAAAAATTGTATTATTGGTTATTATTTTATCAAGATGCATGTAAAAGTCAACAATTCGTACACTGACTATCTTCTTAGTAGCAATGAGCTTTAGTCATCACTAGTTTAGATTCAAGTTCGAATGTAATTACAACCGGAGATGATTTGTTTCCCAGTATGCTATATGTCTATATATTTGTGAGAAAAGTGGGTACACCTAGACATGTTGAGCACATACTTCGATAACACGTAAACCATCAGTTACTTTCTAAATAATTATGGTTACACTCGAAATCTACCATTATGGAATGGGAAGAATCACAGTCACTTTGAACTGAGGCCACGTAGACGCCTTAACTGACAATAAAAAACACCCGATTAGCCATGTAACAGTCTAGTGAATGCGTTGGTTTAAATTGTTTTTATTGGCAGTACATCCTATCCATTGTCAACCAGACGGATTTGATTTAAGTTTAATTATGACTTTTATAATAATTAACAATTGTATTTTTTTATTGAGTAAGTAATGTAGTTGTTAGGAAACGGGTACTAGGTAAGGATGGCAAATCAAATGATGAAGTAGTGAAACTTCGTCAGTTGAGTTGGCTGGGGGATATGTGTTACGTATGCCCAACCACTGACTGATCCGACGAGCAATGTTTTATAGTGTAGGAGGAGTAGGATGGAAGAAAGCTAGGGACGGCAAAGTCAAAACATGGAACCACTCCGTGAAGTCACAACTGAACTTAGTCATTTTAATAGGTATAGACTAATTGGTTTGGGTCCACGAGATGACAGCAACCGGTGGTTAGAGACCTTGAACGATTTGGCTCAAAATAGTCTGCAAAAAAGGCAGGTGTATTCGCTCTTAGTGTTCTCCCAAATTTTTATCTTCCGATTTCTTCATGTCCTTTTCTTTCTCTTTTTCCAAATTTATTTTACTCGATTATACTCCTTGAATAACATCTTCAAACCCTAATCTTCCCGATTACTGCTTATAATTTAATTACCTCTACCACTACGAGATTTGAATCGACAACTGCATCTCTGTGCTAATGCGGTATGGCAACTTGAACTGATGTACGTGCGTACGAAGTGTTACGTTGTTACTGACTGGTTGACTAAATCTTTTTATTAAATACCTAATAATATTTAGGTCTCACAGGTCATCATACCAAACGGAGAGCCAGTCACACTAAAAGTGACAACAGATATTCCTCACCCATTTGTGGGAATTTATTACTAAAAGCAAGGAAAGGATTCCAAAAATTTGGATTCCGGTACTGCATATTTACAACGCAGGAGCTAAAGACCAATAATTTAACCACGAAAAGTTGCAGGGCTATACAGCGATAAAAATATTCCGACTTCATTGAAAAACAAGTTGCTATGCATTGGTCCATTTAAATTCAGTGAGTCAGCTACACCTTAGGACAACGTACATATATGCATCAATCCAAGTTGCCCTACCTCATTAGCACAAGATGAACACCAAATTCGTAGAAGCAGTTACTTTGATGGTAGTAAGAAGGGATTTTATATAAGAATATAATATGGGGGGAAAGAATTAGTTCGTAGAAGGAATGATATAAAGTAATTTTAATTTCACGGTCTAAACAAAGACAGAGTGTGCATACACCTACGCCATTGTGATCGATTCTGAGCAATGTCACTCAGAGTCTCCTCCATTGGTTACGATAGTCATGCGGACCCCAACCAAGTAGTCTGCATCTACCAACATGGCTCAGACTAGAAGTTAGTGACTTTATGGACTGATGTCACGTTTTAGTTTGGCTGCCCCTAACTTTCTACCACCCGTCTCCAACACTAGTCGGCATTGCGCGCCGTGGTAACCGATGGTTGGGTATCCGTAATACGTGGCTCAACCATTTCAGTCAATGAAGATTCGCAATCTCATCACCTGACTTACCATCATTCCACAATAACCTGCGTCTAACACCTCACTATTAGTTACCCGGTGATCCCAGCAGATGAGAACAATATTTATAAGACATACGTGATCAAATGCTATTAGCTTACGAGTATCTTCTACCCTTAATGGCCACGTTTCGCAGCCGTAAAGTAAAACAGAACAAACTGCTGCGGAGTATACTCGCCCTTTAATTGATAGACGGATATCTCGCCTTCACTATAGGTGGCGCAAGTCTGTAAAAACCAAACGAGTTTTTTAATCAGTGCAGAGATTTCGTCAAATACCGACCCATTAGAGCTGACCGGACTTCCAAGATAAGTAAAGTTGTCGACGCGTCCTGCTATTTTACTTCTTATCCTTAGTTCAGGCAGGCCAGTCCTGAAGCAGCAATTTGTATTTAATGACGGAAATGTAACCCAAACATCCTGGCACTGTTGCTCAGTGGTACCAAGATACTCTGCATTTTATCAGTGTCTTCACCAAACAGAACTATGTTATCTGAGTGTTCTAAATTATTAATTTCCATAACCTAATCTTGAAACGAAAAGACAATGTAGAAAACAAAACAACAGCATCAAAGACTTACAGTAAGAACCTCAATTAAATCTTGTTTTGATATATAACCATCATTGTCTAAATCATACATCGTGAATGCCCAACGTAATTTATGTGATAAATCACCACGATTAGTTATATTTAATGAGGATAGAAAATCTCGAAAGTCAATCAAACCATCATGATTTTGATCAAATGTACGAAATACATACTCTGCGAACCGACTAGATTCACCATATGGGAAAAACTTTGTATAAACACGTTTAAAATCATCAATAGATAAATAACCAGTTGGGCATTCCTTTGTAAAAAGCAAAAAATACAAAGTGATAAATAGAAAACTGGACTATTTTTTTTATTGGAAAAATGATTATTGAACATTTGAACAGTTGTATATGGCATAACATGTGTAAATTACGGTTATATTCGTTCGTTGTGACTTTCTACATGTCAGCACAAACTGTTGTCTTTACTAAACCATAAGGGGATCTTCATAGTTTATTGACGTGTTAATTCAAAATTGTTAATCAGGGCTTTAACACCAAATTCGTCTTACATGAACAGAAATATTTTGGTTCTTCATCTTAGTAATCAAAGTTTTAAAACCCAGTGTAGTTTTTGGTAGAATGCTAAAATACACTCTGAACATGTTTTGCCACATTTAACACTGTGCTATAAGTAATAACCTATGACAATTTACGCTGAACGAAATCTCAAACAAATCTAAGGTGAGTGGTTGAAAGAAATCAGAAAATAATGAAAGTCGATTAAATAAGTCCTTAGTGAAACATAACTTTAACGTCAAACTCAATATTCGTGACATCGTAACCCACCAACTAAACATTTTACTTTACTCAAGTTCTAGTTATAATTTTATATGAGAGTAAGTAGCAGTGCTTGACCAAAGCAATTAGAACAGGAGTCAAGAATGTAATTTAGTGGTTAAAAGTTTAGTGATTTAACCGATAAACTACTACATTGTACAGAGAAATTTCATAAGCGTTAAAATTTCAATTATTAAAGTTCAATCAAATATTTCAATGATTAACCACATAATATTTTAGCTCATATATAACTAACCTTTTCAGTAAAACAATGTAACGCATTTGTAAAATAAGGGTTTATGTACTTAACTTACAGCCACACATTTTATGTGACGATTACTGGCAGTATTCTACTTTCAAAACCACATGAAGCTACTATGTTTGTGTTGCAAAGAATTAGATGTCGAAAACAAGATGACTACAGATATTACGCAAATATTCATCCTATTGTTCAGATATATTTATTCGTTGACGTAATACAGTGGAAGTTCAGTCATTTACCTTAGGATGAACATGAAATACGAACAACCCAGTCGAAGTTACGTGAAATCGTGGTGGTACCATCACATTAGATGTTTGCTTCTGCTGAACTGAGGCAAACACTAGGAGATAAAACAAATACTAATATCGCTAAACAACTGAAAATGCGGAAGCAATGTAACATGTCCAACTCAACTAACCTTCAAAAACCCCTTATACCAGTCTTGAATTTCAGTTTCCGTAAAAGATGTTTGGTTTAGTAGTTCTTCAACAGCATCTTGTTTTAATTTTGGTTGCTTTTGACCCATAGACCAGTTGGAATCCAATTAAAAGGGGAAAAGACAATAATCCCACTGTCTAAGCAATTCAGAAGTATTTAAAGGAGATACTACACTACAAAAAATGGATTATAAACACATCATCTAATATGAATCTATATGTCCAAAATATAGAGGAATTTACTGTTGGAAAAGTAATTTGTTTGTAAGAGATGCAAGGGAAAACACAACACGAAAAACACACTAAATACCCACATTTTCCACGAGAGATCCATGACACACAAATCTATCATTGAAATACAACTGACACTCGCACAAACACCTCTATTTGAAAATGATTGATAGACTGACTTTTCATTACTGATAGACAGTTATCGCTATCAAAGACGTTATAAAAACTGAGCTTTTAACAAACAATACAAATAAACCTTACAAGCTCGAGGTCCCTTATTTGAACTCAAGACGTATGATTAATAGTATAATTAAAATCATACCTATTTGTTGACTAGAATTTCTAACAATAGTTGAATAACATAGTTTAGGCGATTAATCTAAGGTAATTTTTTATCCAGGCAATAATAAAAACCCTAGTTATTTACGCTAATATCCATGTGTAGGTTTCAAAAGTAAGAGTTTGACAATATGTGATACTTTAGTTACCAAACAAACATACAAGACTTCAAAATCCAAAACATAAAAGCAGAACTAAACACAGATAAATATAACGCCCAGATAAACAAAGACGTAAGTAGAGAAAGAACAAATTAAAAAAACAAGACGGAAAAGTCAACAAAAATGAGGAAATTTTTGAATAACCATGGAAAAAATTCAAGTAAAGTTACTGAAAAGTAGTATAATTTCTAAGACTAACATGAACAAACTTATTGTACTGTGTTCGATTCAGAGAGATAACCACTAGAGGTCTTGAAATACTGATTCGAAACCTTTTAAAGATTTAAATTTATTAGCCTAAACTTCTGTAAACATGCTAAAGATCAGTAAGTTTCGAGATCAGCATCATGCTGTAGTCTGCTCTTTGTCATCGTTTACTACCTCACTCATGATCACTGCACAGCCTGAAATTAGTCCATGTTACCGTACTACGTTAGAGCGAAATACAATTAACAAGATCCATAGCAAAGAAAGTCAAAACAATAATAGCATCAGTGATAGTGAGAAAGAGTAAGCATTGGAAATATGGTCCGAAAAGGTATGTATAACGGAATATTGAGACTGATCATTCAGGAGAAAATTAGAAGGGGACGTATCTTCGACACGCTGTGATCGATACTGCCCGAACGTAGCTGCTACCTTGACGTGGTGGTCGAGCTTGTCAATTGTGACGACTCAACCGAGCTACACTGGCTGGAACACATGCTCCTTGAGATCCTGACAGCCACACTTCAGTTACCAACTATTTTCAATCAACCTGAATGACAAACTGATGTAATGCCTCCAACTCTTAGTGAAGTTGAAAAGGCTATAAGTAACCTGAAGCGTAGGAAAGCGACAGGATCTGATGGATTAACCCATGAGACTTACAAGATTGGTGGTCAACTTTCAAATATTGGATTGACTGAGATCTTAGCCAGAATCTGGGAGCTGGATATAATCCCATCTGACTGGCCTCGATCGCTGATCGTTCCAATCTATGAGAAGGAACAAAAATCCTCTCATGACAACCACAGGAATCAGTTTAACTAATATAGTGTCTAAAATATTAGTCTCAATAATACTTCGACGCCTAACTAGAGCCCCTGAAGAGTGAACCCAAGAAAACCAGGCTGGTTTCAGACCTGGACATGGATGTACGGACCGAATATTCCCTCCAACAGATTCTTGAACATAGATGTACTTTTCGACGTCCTACTATAGTTGTATTCTTTAACCTTATGGCAGCGTACGACTCTGCTGGTCGTCAGGTTCTATGTCAGTATCTGTCACTAAAAGGCATACCAAAGGAGCACATTAACCTCGTACAAGCTCTTTACTCGAATACCATTGGTCGAATCAAATCTTATGGTGAATCGATCACTTCAAGTGGTGGTCGTTGGGGTTGTCCACCTTCTCCATATTTATTTAACTTTGTCATAGACGTGCTTTTAGAGATAAGACTTCCATCGTCTAACTTTTCAGGAGTTGATCTTCTACCAGTAGATTCACTTGGAATACGTATATGATATAAATCTGTTTGGTGAAATCACTGACAAAATGCAGTCTTCTAACCACCTTAGGCGACAATGTAAACATGTTTGGGGTAAAGTTCTCTTCCTTCAAATGCAAAATGCTACTTCAGGAATGACCTGTGTCACCACCTGAGCTAGTGATAGGGAGTGGAGTTGAACACACCGGTCGCTTCACTCATCTGGGGAGTTTCATCAGTACTGATGATCTGGTGCCTGATAAAATCTCGGCATGGATTTGAAAGGCTCGATTGGCTTTTGCCAAGTTGGGTCACTTGTTGCGTAGACCAGATATACGTCTTCTAACGGAAAGGAGAGTCTACAGAGCAGCAGTTTGCTCCGTTCTACATTACAGATATGAAACACGGGCATTAAGAACAGAGGTTACTAGTATTTGATCGTGTATCCTTGAAGCATGGCTCGTGTATCTTGGGACCACCGACTAAGTAATGCCTGGGTTAGGAGTAGAATACTTGATAATGATGGGAAGTCGACTGATAAAGGAGTAAACTTTCATCAACTGAGGTGGTTGGGACATGTGTTACGTATGCTTAACCACTGTCTACCTCGACGGAGGGATGTTATCTGGTGTAGTAGACTGGAACCTGCTTCGGTCCGGGCACCCGGGCAGTATCACAGCCCATACACAAACCAAGTGACTTGTGTGGCGCATATGCATTTAGTGCCCTTTTGTACCAATACTTATATGTTCAAATAAATAATAAAATGAAGACTGGAAGAACGATACTAGTGGCTAAACCAAAACATAGAATCAGTCCATGAAGTGATTGACGATTAGAATGAATCATGTTAATAGAAACGTGAACAAGGTATACTTATAGCGTTCCAGACCATACTACTGCAATCAGTTATACACGCTCTACTAGCCTTTTTAAATAGAAGCAGTAATACTGTTTAATTCAAATCTTCAACCATAAGAATACACAAATCATTATACATTTGCTGAAGTGATCATTTATATATTATCGAGTAATGTATACATGGGACGGGTCAGGAAACTAAGCCAACATTTACCACCACCATCATAGAGTAGTCTTGTAAGCTCTCAATCAGAGTTTAACTCTAATTAACTGTTGTAAGCAGTATTTGATTAGTGCAATACTCACCCACTAACAAGTCAATACATTCATTTAGCTGGCAATCTTGTGCATAAGTGTCAAAGTACCACTGTCTTACATTAATTCCGCAGTAAAACTATCACATAAGTAAAATTTGACGTCAACTATAAAATAAAAACGAGATTTGCAAGTTGAAATCATAATTTAATAAACTTTTAAGTAATTGAGCAACCGCTCAACTGATAACATTTAAGACCATGCTTTCAACCAGAAAAACACTATAGCCGTGATTATATCATATATATATATATATATATATATATATATATATATATACATATATATATATGGTAAGAGGATGGCTTTCCTGAAATACATGAATAAAAAACAAACAAATCTCGTTCTCTAAACTTTGAGGAAAATTTCTCCAACAATGAGTTTCGGCAGTGGTTTAAGCAAAATTCAGAAGACAACGCGAGCAGTATATTTGAGATTCATGCTGACCGTGGGGTTTTTACTGAAATATGCACTGACTTTTCTCTCGAAATTAGAAAAATTAAAAAGAGAAACCAGAAGATATGGGTATACAAGATGATGAAAGGAATATACCGTCCACTTCTCGAAAGACATCACTAACACACATGTTCGAAAGAACTTAAGTTCACAAAGTGGACGACACGAATGTCCCTTTCGTTTCAATTTCCATGGATCAGAAACATGTAGTACTACATGATTAGTGTGAAAAGAAAGATTTTTGAATATTTAAACATAGTAAATTCGAACCTGTTTTCTAAACGGTCGTAAATTTTAACTTCGTATAAATTAAACGAAGTGGAAGTGATCCACTTCTGTCTATACGTTGACGGTTGACCCTAATATAACGAGGAGATCAACAATTCCGCAACATTTCTAATATTCAACATCCAACATCTAAAATCTTTGTCATGACCGTGCATAAAGAGGTTAAATTTTTGGTGCTCTCGTTGGTTTTTTACGTTTTAGGGTATTTGTTTATGTTTAATGGACGATAGTCCGGTCACTTCACTACACTAATTTTAATCAGAATGGTTGTTAGTATATTTTGCAATTCGAGTGAGTTGTCTCAAGGAAATAGGGTTCCTGCGAGGCTATCCACTGAGATGGCTGTAGTTACTTCAGGTGATAGAGAAAACCGAATATTTTGCTCCTCGATGCACAATGCTCAAAATGTTGCCTCTAGGAGGGTACAATAACACTGTGTACTTGAAGTCGAAGCTGTGCGTATGTTTAAAGGAAAATTAGGAACAATTCGGACGTGACTGTCCAAAGTTGTCTACGCATGAAGTGAAGTTGCATTTGCCTTGACTGCATCCCCTGAGTACTTTGAACTGGTGTCTATGCCTTCTGAGGGTGCAAACCGAGGATCACACTCTGAGGGGACAATTATGGGCTGACTTTCACGGAGACTGTAAGTGCTTTCTATCAAATGACACAGAATGTTCGTGACATGACATTTCGAAAGGCTAAGTTTATCCCACTTTCTACTCCCCATTCCCATCTAGTTGTTAGGTCCTTCCAAAGCTCACGTGAATCTTTTTCGTGTTTTATTGGTCTCCATATCTATGCGTTTCCCGTATAGATCAGTGCCACTGAGCTAATTTCATATGGTAAATCGTTAACAAAGCTCTAAAACAGAGGTAGACCGTAGATTGTTCCCTGCGAAAATTTTCATGTCATGACCCCCTAATTTTCATGCGCTCTATTTACCTTGATGCGAAACGTCCTGTTCTCTAGGTTATATTTGAGCTACGTTAAGGGTGGGTCAATAAAACTCATCTTTTCAACCTTCGTTATGAGAAGTACATGAGGAACAGTGTCGAAAGTTTAAGTGAGATCGAGGAATATTACATGAACCGTTATGATACGGTCCCAGTAGGTCGTCCAGCTATTTCATGCTGTGAGGAGATTGCACGTACATGATGACCTTCCTAAACCCGTGTTAGGCCTCATGGATGTTGTTTTTATCTACGCACTCCCTCATTTCCTCATTGATCAGTTCTTCCATTACCTTCGACAGTATTCTAAGTAATGAGACTAGTCTGTAACAGGCTGGATCTCTCGCATTTCGCTCTTTGAATAACATAAATGTTACGTGGTCACTACATAATATCGATGCGTGAACATGGACACCGTCAACTAGAAGTTAATCATTTGTCAGTAGATAATGTAAGTTTGAAAGTTTCCCGTTCATCTCCCATCACGTGGAGTCACTTACACTTCCAGTCAGTGCTGGACCTTCAATGACTGTGATAATCAGTTTGTCACACCATTCTGTAGGGGATGTATCCCGCTTGCTGAGATTAAGGGACAGGTTGTTGAAGCCTCCAGCTAGTGATATTTGGTCAGATCAGAAGTGTGGTAACTTTAGTATTGCTTGCATTGTCTCATCTTTTTGGGTCTTATCACTTGTGTGTGCCGGTCCATTCCTCCAATCAAGTACTTTGTTCCGTTCGCAGCTAAGTAACACCGGCATGATTCTACCACCTCGGTTAACTCACTAATACGTGGCATTGCAGATTTGAAGCGACTGACAATGTGTATTACCACCCCGCCTCCAGTTTTGTGTAGCCCATCACGTCGCTGCACGACGAAAGAACCTATAAGGCACTTAAAATTGCAAATTCATCTCTAACCGTTCTAGGAAACAATCTTGCGGTGACCACATAACTTATCCACAATTTCTGCGTTTAGGAAAAGACGAATATATGTTTTAGTTAAAACAATAAGTAAAAGAGCAGTTGATCGAGTGAGATGAATTTATCGTAAAATGCTTCAGGCTTGATTTTGAAGATGGCACTGGTATTCAGTGTTTGGGTTAATGAAAAAGATTATTTAGCTTGGAGACTTAGTAAACCGATTAAATGCTGAACAAATAAATCTTTCAAGTATCTCGGTAATAGTTGGAAACATTTAATATGATACTTCTACTTTTAACAACGAATATTTCTTTGAAATAGGGATTCATGTCAATGTTCGTCAGTCATACTGACTAGTAGTTTTAATCCTCGCCATTGTATCATGTATTTGAAATACTATAAAAAAATAATAGTTATCCCAATAAGTTCAGAACTTCAAAAAGACACGACCAAGAACTCACAACTACAGTACGCAGTATGAAGTTGTGTATTACTATGGTAGGTTTAGGAAACATGTGATATTCAACTGTACAGTAAATGTATTGGTTATTCATCGCATATATGAAGGCACTCAGTTGAACAGAGATAGTATCTCTCAACGTAAAACGCTCCTGTCTTTCTGAATAACTAGCTTGGAAATCTCAGATTTCCTGACCTCTGCATACATTCAAATCTACTTTTCCAACAATCCACTATCGTCTTCTTTCTTATTTATCTTCTTGAAAATTTTTGTAGGATACTTGAAGATCTGTATTCTCCTATTCTCTGTGTGTATTTGAAGCGAGCGTTGATAAGTCATAATCATATTAGTGTCTTTACTTCTATGCCATGGGTCGTAGGCAAGCAACTACGAATATAATCTTGATTCGTTTGAGCTCCCTTGCAGTTTTTACTAACTCATGCTGCAAAAAGTCATGTTACGAATTGCACATTGCTTTCACACAATTAGTGAATTTCACAAGTTTCTCGGTTGTTTCAGTCTAGTTGTTTCTAAGAGAATATATTCCTTACCGTAATGAAAAGTGTAAGTGATTTCACATCTTTCTCACTTTCTTAAAATCTCTAATCAAGAGAGTCCTTAACAATATAACACAGTCAAAGAGAAAGCTACTTACCTATCTACTTTGACGTTTCTCACATTCTTGTTTTTACAGTGTCGTTTTTGCTTGAAGTGAACATATGCCTTATGTTTAGGGCGGGAACGAACTTCGTCGGGAAATGATGGAGGTATACGATAGATAACTCCAAATGATTTCGATTTACGTACAGCATGACCGCTATCAATGAGATGTGCCAAGGTAGAACTGCGAATAGATTTTATCTGGCCCTTTATGTACCAAGTTGGTAGATGTTCACTCATTCATTGGTTAAGTTGCCTGGTAGTACGCCCTATATAGCTATCCCCACAGGAGCAGCTGAATTTGTAAATGCACATAGAAGAGGCCAACTCAGGTAATTTATCCTATGTTTGAGTAGACATCGCTGGTCGACAAGAGAAGGTCAACGCAAGATTGGCTGCGTAGAATGTCCTGGTGATTATTTTAGTTAACCTATATTTCAGAGTGTCACTTGCCACATTCCCGTTGAATTACACTTTCATGTATAAAGGTTTTAATTTGTTTACTTACGTGTTCATTTAGAATATTTAACTTTCTAACTTATTCCATTTATCTTAACAGATATTCGATCATCCCCAGAACTATGAATTCATACAAAGTCATGATATATATATATATATATATATATATATATATATATATGAAGTGAAACAAAAGTAGCTTCTGAACTTATTCTTCTACAGTTAACATACTGACATACTGTGAGCTGCAATGAGTATTATTTTATGGCCATTAGATTTACAAACGCGTATTAGTTGTTTCTATATTGAAAACAACTAAATGTTTTTGTAAAAACTCACTTCACCATCTCCATTCAGCTACCTTTATACACATATGGCAACAATAACAAAATAAACAAATAAATAACTACTATAAAGTAACTGTAACAAGTTTTAAAAAGAAAAACAAAACGGTTTAACCTACAAAAAATACATTTTCACTTTTTAATCATAGTGCAGTTAGTCTGTAAAGTGATGAGTAAAACAACACATTTTGTTTACATTTTAATTAAAGGTAACATTTTATGATTTTCTAGTTTGACAGAATGTTTACAATAATTAAGAGTTGAATTGATTTTATCATTATTTACATGATATACATATTGTGGTGTGTACTACTTATATAGACATAAGTAGTATATAACACTAGTCAGGAATAAAATGTCTGGCAACAGAAGATTGAGAAGATCAAGGAGGAAAGAACGGGAATAGAAATTAATTGGTATGGAAATGCAGGAACAATACAGCCCGAGACAATTAATGAACATTTTGTAAATGAAGTATTGAAGTATGGTTTTTCTGTTTTATCAAGTAACTATGTAGTTGTGTGCTAATTGTAATCGGTTGTCCTCACCTGTGTTCTCCTTTATTACAACATGATTTAAAGTAGTAAAAATCTATCTGTGGATGCCTAAACTCTTGAATGATCTTGACTGCATTCACTGAGATGGGTTAAATTGTACATTGTATCTAATAATGTTGTTCTGTTGACTAGATATAAATCAACGATTCTACTATTGAGTAGTTTAAACGATTAGAATATGAATAATCGTTTTTATTTGATTCCATTCAACTCCTGCTATTTATTATTTCATTCTGTTGTTTCTGTTGTGTAACCCAGTTGTATCTCGTCTCAAACAGTCACGATAATACAAAATATCCATCATTAATGCATATATCTTAAATTCTTAAATGATATTCTCGTCAGTATAATTGTTAAATGTTAGATCATGTGGAACCATATATCTGAAATCTTGACGTAAATATTATAAAATGAAGCCATCGGAACCTTATATTATTCAGTTTAACAATAAATTTTCATCGGATTTACTACTGTTTAAAGCTAATGTCACCATAAAACAGAACAACATAATACTTTATTATCGTGATATTTTTAAACACAATAGGGGTGTGGCTCCCTAAGCAAACCACCTGCTTCGGTTTGGGCACCCGAACAGTAACCTGGCCCTCACAAATTCTAATGGTTTATGTGGCGCATATCTGTTTGGTGGCTCCTTGTGCCAATGTTTATGTGTTTAAATAGATAAATAAACATTATTTACCTATTTGAATTTTTAAAAATACTTATTTACTTGTATTAGGATTGTATAAAGCTGAACATTATC